CCGCAAAAATGGCGGCTCATTAGGTATGCAAATAAGGCTCGGCGATATTCCACGCTTAGCCTCATTTGCATATCTCTGGCGCAAGATTGTGCCAGTGTAGACGTAGCCACTGTGTGTTCATTTTTAATTGTACTTTTTCATCTAGTTGTAAAGAGACTTAATTTACAATTACAAATTGATATGGAATCTTCAGATGTATATGGCTAGTTGAACTTAAAAAAAAAAAAAGTTACCAAAAATAATATAAGCTTATTAGTGCAGTGTAAAGTTCTAGTAAAGCAAAATATGTCAAAATACATCGGTCTTACATCAAAAGTGATTCAGCATGCATCACTTCAACAGCTATCTCTGAGAAATATTGTTTTAATTTTTAAGTAGTGTTTACATAATCTGTTTGTTTTAAAGATAATTCATTGAGAGTTGTTTGTTTTAGGATGGAAAAATAGCTAGGATGTGTCCAAGTTATTGATACTAAATACTTAAAATTTGACTTCACCATTGCTTTCAGTCTCTAGAGAACAGCCTACATGGACAATTAGAAGTAGTTTATTGTGACTTCTTCAGATTGGATCCTTTGGGGTGTGGATCTATGAAACCACCTGCTATGTACTCTGAGAAACTTTTTGAAAATTTGGGCATCTTGGCAGTTCCTTGGACAGCAGGTAAATTGAAAATCAGCCAGTGTTGGGGGAAGGAATTGAGGCCTCAGAGGCAGTTTGGCAGCTGCTTAAGGGCTTTATTTAATTTTGTATAAAGGAAGTACATCTCCCTTCCTCTTTAATACAGTCAAAGATGCTACTTCTCCAGTAGTTAATCCTCAAATTTACTTAAGTAGTCTGGCATTTTAGTAAGAGGTAAAACAGTGTATGGTGGGATATGTAGTCTCAGTTGTTTGCACCTCCTGAAGGAAGATTCAGACAGAAACTGCGTTCAGCGGTAGGTTGTACTTTAAGACACACTTGAGCAACAACAGGATCTGTAAATACATTCATGTTAAAATAAAACTTGCCATTGGGTTTGTAACTTACATATTGGTGTTGATGAGGTTGTGCAGTTATATTTGAAAATTCAAAGATACCTTTGCTCATTTTCAAAACAGATGTTCCTGTAAAAATTGTTGGATTCCTCCCCCAAAAAAAGGAAAGAAATTTTCTTTGGAAGCTTATCATTGGCATGTATGAACGCAGTTCCATATACAGATATGGAAGAATAGAGCTGAACATGTTTGTTAGTGAAAAAGAGTACAAGGTATGTTTATGTACAAGAAACTTCATTTCACTGGTTAATAAAGAAAGGCTGATGCTAGAACATTCTGGGTAAAGGCATTTTGTCCCTATTGCTTTACATTTGTTTTATTTATTTATTTATTTATTTATTTATTTATGTATTTATGTATTTAATGTAAACATATTTTTCTAACAAAATGGAGGGACTGTGTCTCTGCTACTTGCTTCTCTTTCTGAAGGAATGTTTGTAATAAGTTTGTTTTAAAGGAAATGAGTGTCACAAGTTAGTGTTCTTTAGTCAGTAGAGGCGGTATATCAAACACATGTTGATAAGTGATAAAAAAGCAGCACTTCTATTATATTTTTTATGTAGTAACAGTAGTTTCCAGATGTTTTCATCCTGTTAGTCCCTTTGGGATCACCTCTGTTGATGTAGTTTTGCCCTTCCTCCCCCCCCCCCCCATACTTACTGTTCAGATTGGCTGCTTTGCACACTTCATCTTACCACTCAACTTCTGGGGTGGGGATGGAGGACTGGGGAGCTGGGGACCTGGGAGGTCAGCCTGGCAGATCATTTTATTTGGTCTGCCACACTGCATTCTGGAAGAGAGGGATCCAGTGAAATCCCTTTTCTCCCAAGGTGCTAGCAATTGCCTACAGTTGTATAGGTCATAGGGCAGGAGCTGGAGAGCATGGCCTTGTACCTTTTAAGCTGTAATTCTGTATTAAATCTGTACAGCTGCTGCCAGAGTGGCCTGGACTATCGCTCTGATTGCGTGGTAGCATTGCTGCTGAAATTTGACCTGGCTGCCCCTCTTTACAATCAGAGGTGCGGCCTAGCCAAATGGTGTTGCAACTCAGCACACAGGGAGTCTGTTCCTGTATGGCAGAGTGCAGGGGAATCCCTCAGAATTCAGCTACTGGTGGCACCCGTTTATGTGGTTTGTGGGTGAGAGAGAGAGGAGTCCATGGCTGAGGGAGATGTAATGCCCTTGAAGTGGGGGTGACACAAGCGCAGACTGTCACAGGTCTCTGGCAAGTTGGGAGGACATCAGAATTTGCTTGCCCTCCCAAGAAATATCTGAATTGGTACCAAAGCTCATGCTCCTCCAGGAAGCATCAATTTTCATATCCTTTTTTAAAAATAAAATCCACTAAATCTTGATATATCAGGTATTACGATTTCTAGGTGTACCTATGTAATCCAGTTTATCCAGCCCATTTCTTTTAGTATCACCATTATGGTATTACTTCCTTACACCAATTTTCCATTTGCTTCATGTAATTTCTGTAACCCGTCCTCTGAAAGTGCTCCTCTCCCCCTGCTAAAAGCTGAATGCCTGTCTTGGGTAAATATTGGAATCCTCTTCTAGGCAGGGATACATCTAGCTCCATTTTTTCAATTGATCATTGTGGCAAATTGTTTTGTAACTATACTTTAAAAATGAAATCACTCCATAATAGATGCACACTTCTGTCTTTGCTCAGCTCAGGAATAACCAAAATGTATTTTTCCTTTCTGGAAGTTGAGTATTTAATTGAATTGCCAGTCGTCTTAGGAAAGTTCCTCAGAAAAGCTGTTTGGCATTCATCTAATCCATCATCTGGAGCTGTTTTAACGAATTGGCTGTGATACTCTCTTTCTTAGGAATCTTACTAACTTTACTATAAAAATTACATTTATGCAATAATGTAACATCTGAAATTTGGGTGATTCTTTGGCCTCTTAGGGTATGTCTACACTACCCCCCTCGTTCGAACTGGGGGGGGGGTAATGTAGTCATACGGAGTTGCAAATGAAGCCCGGGATTTGAATTTCCTGGGCTTCATTTGCTTAAAGCCGGCCGGCACCATTTTTAAATGCCGGCTAGGTCGGACCCCGTGCCGCGCGGCACGGACTAGCTAGTTCGGATTAGTCTTCCTAATCCGAACTAGCTAGGCACGGGGTCCGACCTAGCCGGCATTTAAAAATGGCGCCGGCCGGCTTTAAGCAAATGAAGCCCGGGAAATTCAAATCCCGGGCTTCATTTGCAACTCCGTATGACTACATTACCCCCCCCCCCCCCCCAGTTCGAACGAGGGGGGTAGTGTAGACATACCCTTACAGAGAGAGAGAGTGAATGGGTGAGTGTTTTCTTGCTCTTCCACAAGCTGCTTTTTTTTTGCTTTCTTAGTAAAATGGTTAATATAGACCACCTAATGCAGTTTAAGTATATCATTTTATATAATAAAATGTTGTGCTAAATGAAGTGGTCTTATGGTTTCTAATGTGTTCCTGTGACAGTGAGGCTTAAAATAATATGTGTGGTGCATGTTGTATGAGGTCTAAGCTTGAGCTTGGCATGGAGTGTAAGTGAGTGGAGCTGAACATTCTACTTTTAATCTGAATTTGCTGGCTCTGGAGAATTTGTCTAACCTTTCCAGCCACATTTATAAGGACTTTGAAATAAGTGGATTCAAAATTCATCTTATTTTTCAACTTTTTGCTTTTCTGCCAGATGCTGACTGCAAAACCTGGAGAGCTAAGGAGTTATCAAACATTAAGTGTGCTTTGGCAAACAGCCTGTGAAATTGAACTTCTGCACATGGTGAGTATTTTGTACTGTCTGTGGTGTCTACTGAGCTAAGTGCTTTTTATAGTAAACAATGAAATTTTCTAAAATAGTACATATTTGTAGTTTTCTGTGTTGAAAATGTTCTTATGGGGTACCATTATAATTAACGATCTATCAATATTTTCTTCAGAACTTCCTGTCTTCCTAACTTGTGACATAAAATCAGGGATGGGCAATCATTTTTTGGGGGGCAACTCCAAAGTTTTGGTAAGTGGTCAAGGCATGCACTTTTTTATGGAAAGGCGTGATGGAGCAGGGAGTGAGGGCAGCATGTGATGTCTTGGCCCTTACCTCTCACCACCACCAGGGATTCGCGCACCTGGAGGGACCTGCCAGCCTCAGGTTGAAGCAGGCAGAGAGTCTGCCTTGGGGTCTTGGCAGGGAAGACTGCAGGCCAGATCGAAAGGCTTGGCGGATCGCATCTGGCTTATGGGCAGTACTTGCTTACCCCTGTGTAAAATGTCTTTATTCACTCTTACTGCAGAAATTTACATTTTTTTTTTTTTAAACTCAAATCAGATTGAAATGTTAACAATTTTTTTTTAGGTTAGATCTAAAAGTAACACTTTGAAATTTGGAACATCTCTCTTCTAAATTAAAAACAATAAACCCAGCAGCGAGCGTGGACAGGTTGCTTTTTAAAACCAAAAAAACACCCAACAAATGCAGTCCTATAATGGAAAATTAAAAAAAATGCTAGTAAGCTTATTTTATTTTCAAGTCCCCAGTACGGATGTAAGTGACTAGTTGACTAGTCGCTCTCCCCACTCTTGCTGCCTGTATTGGAGGTAGCAGGGGGAGGAAGCAGGAGCCAGTGCTGGGGAAGCTGGCTTAAAAGCTGGTTTGCTCCAGTACCATCTCTGCAGGGGGCATGGGTAGCAGGGACCCAGCAGGAGCTGGGAACTGGCTGATTCCGAGCTCATGCCTAGTCCCAGATGTGCCTCTGCTTTTAATTGGATTAAGAGCCTGCCAGCTCTTACTCCATTTAAAAGGCAGAGCTGCAGCAGGGTTAGCTTCGGGGCGGGAACTAATCTCGCTGTGCTCCCCACTGAAAATCCATCGACTAGTTGATTAAAGTAAATTTAACATCCCTAGTCCCCAGGTCACTTAGGTTTTCTTGACAGAAGCAATTTTGTGTTTCAGATTTTTAAAGATTGGCCGAATGGGGTTTTTTTTAGTATCTCTTGATAAGTTTGTCTTGGCATCAAGTGAATAAAAATAATGTTCCTGCTTTGTAGTCTGATGGAAGCATGCTCCAACTCCTCCTGATTCAACCCCCGACCCACACTGATTCTTCTTGTACTGTTCCAATCTCCTCACCCCTAAAAGATTGGGACCAGCTAGTCTATTTGCCTTTGATAGCAGCAAGTCTGTTTACCACTTGTAACCAATGTATGGTACCATAATTCATTTGACTCTGACTTGTGCTTTGATTGAAAGATGGAGAGCTAGGAAAACATCAGAGAAGAATGGTGATCTTGTGGTTGGGACTTTGTACTAGGAGATCTGGGTTCAGTTCCTGCCTCTGCTAAAGACTGTGAACTTTGTTCAAGGTCACTCAAGTCTTTATGGCTCATTTTCCATCTATAAAATGAATTTATTCTTGACCTACCTCACAGGGGCTGTGACCATATGATCAGAAATGTATAGTAGATGCTGAGATACTACAGTGATGGGGGCCAGCTAAATACTATGACAGAACCCATGGGCAGAGAGATGCACCCGGCACTAGACACGAGGCATAGGCAGGAAGTACCCTATGAACAAACAGTAGGCAACTGTAGATGGAACTATAGCATGTATGAATTGACAGTTGCTGGACATACTAGGGATTTATGCTGGGGTTTCTTTTGGAAATTAAGCTAATATAAATGTCTATGTCCATGTGCAATTTTGGCTATAAAGGGCCATATTTCCAAAGGTGGGAAGAACTTGGAAATCTGAAGGTATTTTTTAGTTTTGTAGCTTTTGGGTCTACTGAAGGAAATGGGACTACTCACATAGTTAAGTAACTTTCTGAATTGGGCCAATGTATTTTTTTAAAAGACTTGAATTCATATTTTTATTTTCAGTATACTGTATTCACCCCATGTGTAGAACAAGTTTTGGAAATGAATATGTTTTTATGTAATATTTGGCAAAAGATTTAAACAATTATGAAGCCTTTACAAAACATTTCAAATGTTTTTTTTCCTCCCAGGAACCTTGGTCTTCATTTTTGACTAATTCAAAAACCAGGGGACTTGGAATACAAAAGAGCATGGTAAGCACTATGGTCTCTTTCTTTAAAGAGTCTGTCAAACAATATAGGCTCAAAACACAGTTTTTTGTGTGTGTTTTTTTTAAACTGTTTTACAAATTGTGATAAGAATATTCACAAATTCCCATGATTTAACTGAAACTTTTAAACACATTCCCTTCATTGTTGAGAATTCGGATACCATGAGCTCTGTATATAGGAAGTGGAATTGTGATTATAAGCAAAAGTGACACTGAACTCAGCTAGTATCTTTTCATTAACCAATGTGACAGAAGTGTGGCAAACAGACAGAATAAATGAGAAAAGATGAAAATTTGACTTTTTGAAGAGACACTTGAGTTAAGAATCATCTTTTAAGTAATACATTTTGTTATTGGTTACTAGTAATGCATTAGATTAGTAAAACAGTTGAGAAAAATGAAAATCTACTTTGGCATCTTATTTGTTTAGTACTTCATTCAGCTTAGATGATGAAAATGCATGTTCTTGTGCTAACACGACATTTAAATGCCAAGGACAATGTTTAAATTGAAACAAAATCCTGAAATTTAAAAAAGAGGCATTTCTATCAATTTTTAAAGAATTTGGTTCTAAAACTCATCAGTATATTACGTTACCCAGTGATGTGTCTCTTTAACCTAAGATTGTAGCAAATCTAAAGGATTTGGTGTGTCTTTGTAAATTTCAATGTAACTTTGAATTTTTTGATACTATATAAGACAGCTTTATAGATACACATAAAATGCCACTATAATTAAGCACAGTTCATAAGAAGTGACACTTTAGCTCAGAGGTAGAGAACCTTTTATGGATCGGGACCCAGGCTAGTAGCTTTTGTGTGCTCCAGCCCCGCAGTGGAAGGTGGGGGCTGGAGCACCAGCATGGGCTCCCAATATTGGGGTGGAGTTCTGAACCTTGGGGGCTGAATCTAGGTGAGCCTGAAGTTCCCCAACCCTGCTTTAGCTGATAGCTGCATACCAAAAGGATTGGTGAAGATACATTAAGACTGCTTTATAGCTTCAGGGAAATTGGAGATGGGAAAGATCTATTGGATCTTATATCTGTCTTTGCCAGTACAAAACTACCTTTATCTTTAAAAATAAGTTCTTCATACACTTCTCAGATGGGAGGATAATCTGCACAAATGTTACACACAGTATTCCGTATCTGTCCAAAAGACAGATAATTAAAATGAGTTAGTCAGATGTTTTAAGGACAGGAAAGGCCATTAAGCTTATTTAATGTAACCTCTTGCATTGACACAGGCCAAAATAATCTCATCTGAAAATTGATTCATCAAGCCCATAGCTTCTGTTTGCACTATAGCACATCTTTTAGACAGATCTCCTGTCTTGATTTAGAGCAGTGGTGGGCAACCTGTGGCCTAAGAGCAACATGCGACCCATCAGAGTTCTACATAAGGCTCGCAACACTTTTTGTTCACCATTACTCACGCACAGGTTTGCCAGATTCCATTGGTTTCCGTCCATATCATTTTTTGTACTGGTTTTACACACAAAACAAGGGCACATGAAGTGAGATGCATGCTAATTGCACATGACATTGACTGTAAAAGCTGTGTGCTCCCTCTGCGTTCAAAGCACTGCTATGGTTCAGTTGGCGCACACTGCAGATTCTAAGTACACAAGCACAGTTGACAAAACTATCCTGTCCCAGGAAACTGTCTTGATTATGACAGTCTTGTGACTCACTGAGATGAAGGTGGACCACATATACAGTCCGCTCGCTAGTCTAGGATGATTTAGAGACTCAAAATGATGGAAAATCTATCTTGTCCTTAGGTAAATTGTTCGATGGTTGATTACCTTCACTGTTTTTTTTTTTTTGTTTGTTTTTGTTTTTTTTAAAGGAATTGTACCTTATTTTGAGTCTGTATTTATCTAGCATCTGTTGCTAACTGTAGGATCTCATTATGCCTTTTTCTGCTCACTAAAAGAGCTGTTTACTTTGAGAAATCTTTCTTTATGATGTCAATGAAATACTTTTTGTACCAAGGCCAGATGCAGTCTTAATAATGACCTTTTCATTAACTTTTTTGTTGTTGCAGCTGCTGCCAAACAACCACTTATGTTTAGTACGAATGACCCCACGGTGGAATTTATTCACAGGTGGCATGACAACTGCAAATTCATCTACTTTTATACTGATGGTACAACAGTGTCTGGCTAAACGCAAATCTAAACTAATTGATAAACTTAAGTAAGTATGGAAAAGTTAGGTAACAGTTTTTCACAAGACCCATGAATGAAATGTATGCCAGTATTTTTTTTCATAAATATCGTCTCAAATGCAGTTTACAAACATGAATAATAATAGTAAGTTGCATACCAAAATCAACATTGCCAACCCACAGCTCTGAATTAAGGATGTGGAGGTTTAACTTGTTAACTGGTAAGCCTCACCTTTAACAGCTGTGGGCCTAGGCTTCCTGTGCTTCGTGCAGGAAGGGCTTGCTCCCGTGTCCTGGCTGAAGCAGCTTGTCCGTGGTGGGCCAGTGTGCCACACAGTTAGGAATTGCTCTGGCTGGGCTGAAGCAGCCCCTGTCTGTGGCAGGGGAGGGGAGGAGAAGCCTCCCACCCCCACTATCCCTCTTTAATCAGTTAACCGGTTAAACAATATGTTAAACGGGTTAGCCAATTAAAAGAGGTTTTACATTCCCTGCTCTATCTGGATATTTTTTAACAAATGAAACTATATAATGGTGCTAATGTAGAAGAGGGGTCCGTGTGCTTATTCTGAAAAATCAGATGACAGAGTGGAAATTATTAAATATAATAAATTGTTAGTTTCTTGGATGTTAATAAAATTACAGGAAAATATTAACAAGTTTCTTTACCTGATCTTGTTTCTGTAAAGGCTCAGTAATATGTTCAGGTTTCCCATTATATCTTTGGGTTTGTATATAAATTTAAATTTCAACAAAATGTTCTACATAAGGCTGTATTAAAATATCTTAGAAAAATAACTAAAAATACAGTACTGTGGTATGAAAGCATCTGCTACTACAAGGGACAGGCTGGACCCAACAGCTGGAGTTTTAACTGAGAAGGCCCTGTCCTGCCATAGGGCTCAGCTATGTAAGTAGGAAGAGGGAGCTGAGAGAGAGGGGAGTGAAATCCATGCAGGCTGCAGTAGCTGGATGGTGGGTTCTTTCCTCTCAGGCTCTGGGAGACTTAACTCACTAGAGTCTGTGTGGGAACAGAAAGAGGATTCAGAGACTGTTTATGAACTGTTGATTTGAACTTTTCCTGTCCTGAGCCTTATTAAAAGAGGACATGCTCTTTTGTTCATGAGTGTTGGCTTCTCTATGCTCCTGGCTATGTAAGCAAATCTGTTGCTATCATGCAAGTGATTTAAGGTGGGCACATCCAGAGCACGACACTGGGCTGCAGTGGGCCATATAGGGTCTGCCCCACCTTCACGTATGGATTAAAAATTGTGTAGCTGATGATGGTTAAAAAGTTCTCTTTAACCATCATCACAATTTTTAATCCATACGTGAAGGTGGGGCAGCCCTAATTAATTACTTGATGTAAATAAGTAATTATTAATCACTCTCGCTATGCTTACTCCCGGGGTGTCCTCTTCCCATTCTTGAAAAATGAATGCTCCCTGAGAAGAACCAGCCTCTGGTTCTTCTAGTACAGTAAACAAACTAGTTTTTTTTTTCTTTCGTTGCCACTGGTTTGTAGTCAATAGTTTGGGTGGATAATCCCCCCGGAAATATGCTAATGAAATTCTATAATTTATTGAGCAAGATGAGTATAAATAATAAACATATTTTTTTCCTTGCCTTGAAAATAAATGCAGTCAAGATACCTGTAGGAAAGGTACAAGATCTAAATTGTATAGCAGTGACATAATGTGTGGGAGAAATAGTGGGTACACTGAAGCAGACTACCTCAGATATGGAGAAAAAGGAAGGGAGGTGTAATTAAACCCTTAACTTTAGAATGTTACCCTCATGACAATTGTGACTTTCATTGTTCTCAGGCTTCAGAATCATTCATGCCCTAGGTTCTGTGTTATTTCGTTTATACAATGAGTTGCAGGAAAAATTTGCCAACTGAGAAGTTTGTGATTAAACTCTTGAATCTAATGGACAAAGGCCTCTATGGTGAACATTCACAGAAAATAATGGCTGTCACATGAGGGAATTCTTGACAGCCTGCAATTTTGAGAGAATGAATTGTACCCAGTGTTGCATCTTACTGTTTTTCCTTTTAACTTAAATGCTAAAATATGACTTTTTCTTTTGTAATGTCTTGTGTTTCAGCTCATGGAGTCCAGACAGTGGGAGTAAATTATTAAAGCAGCTAGAAATACCGGAAAACATTGTAACAGGCCATTTGTACCCAGAAGAGTACAGACGCCTTTTTGAAGCTATGGAACACTCTAAAGAGTTTAGTGAAAGCTGGCTCTATGGTGAATTCTTGGAAAATACCAGGCACATAAATTTCTAAATATAAACCTTCTGGTTTTGAAATAAATTTGTTTTAATGACTGTATTCTGAGGTAACAAACTCAAAATCTTACAATTCCATCAGTGAAGATAAGTGTTCTCTCCTGCACAAATCAGAAGATAAAGTCACTTGAGACGAAAAAGCCTGTTTACACAGGGAAAAAGACTGCTTAAACTAAGCATATGTATAGCTATTAACAGGTTGTTCTGTGTGCATGGGATTGAGGTCAAATTTTGCACCTTCTCCAGTATCATATGGCAACGGTTGATGCTCTCAGAAACGTGGCATAAAATGAACTACTTTTTTGCTACTCAACTGTATATTTGTTACATTTTTAAAAGTATCAAACCAAATATTTGTGCAATTTGGATATGGGTGTCAAAATACTTAATTGTTATGACTAACTCGTTAACAGTGCCCCACATTGTTTAGAGTGTTCAAAAATATAAAAGCTATTTTCTTTCTCCCCGACCTAAGAATTTAGTCTGAAATTGGCACGATGCAGTAGTAGTTACCAAGAGGTGAGGAGTAATGGGAAAGTAGAATAATTTGGCTACTCAGGTTAGTTATGTGTTTCACATTTCAGGTATGCTTTGCATTATATCTGTGTATGAGAGCTGGTGTTGTGGGAAGAGAGAAAATTAATAGTTACTTCTTAAATAGTAATTTCGAAATTCAGAAGATGTTGATCAGCCTCTTCTACATACCATGCCACCCATCCACATACATACAGACTTTGCTATCTTGTTTGCATGTGAAATTTTTCCATCAGATCTTTGACCATTATATAGGCCATGAAAATTGTTTCCTCCCCACAACTGTATGCCCTTAATGTAGTCATGTTAAAGTGCGTGTGTGTGTGGACACACACACACACAAATATATATAACACAACCCACTGAATAGTTATTCCTAGACCAAGTACTAGTTTACACAATCCCCGCTCCTTTTCTCCCTCGTTACCCATCTCTCCCCCCGCCCCCATTTCCCCTATACGTTTGGTGTTGAGGCTGGCAGGAGGTGTCAAAGATTAGCTGTCCAAATAAACAGCAGCATATCTGTAACGTATGGGAAGCTGTGCTGCTTCAGTTTCTGTTAGTGAAGAAGTAAGTGTGTCCTGATTCTCCAGGAGGCATGGTGGGAAGCACTGGTTGGGCTGTTGTTTCTTCCTTTCTACTGCAGTCGCTACTACTGGACAAATGATTGCTGCTGCAGGGAGTGAGCTAGGTGCACTGCTGGGTTCCTCACTTCCACCTCACTTTTGCAGTCCTACCTGTTGAGTCTATTTCATCTTTGGACAATCTTTTGCAATACTTAAGTGCCAAAACTGCCAGGAGGACTGTTTTCATCCTACAGCATGAACTATATCCTGGAGTAATTCTTGCATATTGTGATTATCTTGCCATTCACACCTTTCCTGACTTGGCTATTATAAGAATCTGTACTTACAGCGTGATCTGTATTTACCAGTGCTGAGTTAGCATATAACAGAAGCAATTTCATTTCTGTTGCAACAGTGATAGGGAATATAACTGAATGTTCTTGCTGACTCTGCCAGTCAGCAAGAAATATCATAACTTCTCCTGTGTTTTTTCTTTTGTGCATCAAATGCCTCCTTATTGGAGCAAGATGTCTGCACTGAAGCAAGATGCTAAAGAACGAAAGGAAGATTGTTGTCATAAAGTGATTTTGTTACTGATAACCCTAGAATATATGAGCATTGAATTGGAAAAAATGTACTGTCACACTTGCTATTTGATTACGAAACAGTAAGGCAATGCATGCATTCCATGAGTTAGTACAGTGGCATAGTGATTGGTGTAAGGGATTAGGAATTAAGAAATTTGAGTTATGTCCCTCGCTTTGCTCCTAACTCTGACCTTGGGCAAGTCTTGGTGTCTTTATGTAAAATGGGGAGCATGATGGCTGCCATTATAAGGTAAGATCTCCAAAAGATGCAATGAGTGAAAAATACTGATTTGATAAGTCAACCTGGACATGAAAACTAAACAGCATGTATAGCTTCAATTCTTTAATCTCATACACTAGCCCATTTTTGCAATGATCTGTTTGAAAATCGAGAGGGAAAATGTTTAATATAAATTTTAACTCCTATTTTTTATCTTATTTGAAAGGAATTTTTGTTTTGTTTCTAATTCATGTAGGTGTATTTGAAAAGTCTACCCTACATCATTGCTGTTTTATATGCTTAAACTTAATTAAGTCTGAATGCCTCTTTATACAAGTGAGATCTTAAGTTATATATTTGAGGCATTTAGTATACAAAGTGCTGGCTCCTTTCAGTGTTTAATGCTACAGATTGAACCTTCCTTGTCCGGCACCCTCAGAACCAGAGTGGCCTGAACAAGGGAATTTGCCGGACCAGGGGAGGTCAGGCATCTGGGCTCTCCTGGGGCTCCTCTTTTGGCAGCTGCTCCAGGAGAACCCAGACACTTGATCTTCTTTGGTTCACTTGCCTGCATCTGCTGCTCCCAGCTCCTTGTGGGGCAGCAGCTGCTCCCGGGGTTCTCTGGCTCCAGCCCTGTGCACGGCAGTGGCTGCTCCCAGAGTTCCCCGGCCCCAGCCTCATGTGTGGCAGTGCAGCTGCTCCTGGGGTTTGCTGGTCTTGTGCGCTGCTGCGGCAGCCGCTCCCAGGGCTTTCTGTCCCAGGTCACTACCCCTGCAGGCTGCCACTGACCAAACCAGTTCCGCTCTCAGCCTCTGTGGCTGGGCTTTCTGGTCTAACAGCATCTGTGGTCCTGCTGGACCAACAATGTTGCCAGATCAGGGAGTCCTGGATATGAGAGGTTCAACCTGTAGTATCTTAAAACAAACACCAAACTTTATAGTAAGACCACCAATTGCATTTTATGTTTTTTGGTGAAAATATAGGTGTTGCAAGGGAAAGGAGCATTGAGTTATGTAATTTGAAAATGTAGATTGGCAAAATTTTAAACCATCTTTTTACCTCACAGATTAAAAAACACTTTATGCCTGCAAAATATATTTTTATTTTTAAATCTTAGAAACAAGTAAATTGAAATAATAGCTCAGTTTTGGTAAACACACGTGTGAGCATGCATTCATATACTTTACTTTTGCATTGAGAAATGTTCCCGTGTCTAAAAATGATTGCCTCTGGATTCCAGCTACAAATCTTACATTGTCAGTAGTGTTAATGCTTTTAGCAGTTCTAGATGTATGATGTACCTAAAGGTGACCTGAGAAGGAGAAAGGAAAAAAGGTGTATTTTTTGACTGCCTTATTATAAGAGACCTAAACTAGTGTCAGAGTTTTGTTTTCCAAAAAGTCTGACTTTTTTAAACTTTCATCCCTGTGCCTCCATCATGCATAATCAACCCTAACGTCACTTTCATTTTTCAGATTTTATAAAAGCAAACCTAAAAATGGCTTAAAGGAAAAACAGAAGTATATAGCTTTGGTGTCATTTCTGATCTAGAGAACAATGAGCCACCAAAATACCACAGAAAAAGGGAATTGCAGCAGAGTCTATAGAAATTCCAATAGCATAGTAAGTTCAATACATTCCTTTGGTCAGGACATTCCCATTGACTTCGGTTGCAATTCTGTGTTCGAAGGCATGTAGCAGCAGTCCCATTAAAGCAGCACAATGAATTCCCGTATTCCTGCCCATTGCACTGAATATATCTCAAGTTCCCACCAGACCCACAAATTACCATACTAAAATATTTCACATAGTTTTGATGCAGAGAAATTGAGGTATCTCATTTGCATGTATCTATATTCTTAGTGCAGCTCTTAATATGGTTTTGTCATAAGTAGTACAAGACTTTAAAATTTCATGAGGATGCTAATTAAGTTGAAAGCATTTGGGACAGGGTCTCTCTTGTGTTTGAACAGCATCTGGGCTTCTGGGTGCTTCTATGTGCTACAAGTAATAGAAGATTGATGTGGCAGTTTAAATTGCACAACACGTGAATGAATGTAAATAAATCTTTTGAAGAACGTGTTTCATGCAGGTTTGGCCTTTTCTTGTTAAATAATCACTATCTTGTTTTATGTATTTATTAGGAGCACTGTTCAGGCAGACAGACTTACTATACCAAATCAGAGCAGCAGTCCATCATATTTTATATCTTCCCTTTAGTTAATTGTGACAAATCTTTCTAATGCCCCAACCTCTTCTACAATATATCCTACATCTCAGGGAGAAGTTCATGAATCCTTTTGGTCTGTTCACATCTTCAGTTGTGAGATCGGAACACATATCTTGGCATATGTAACTACCAGTGTTACTGGTCATAACTTTTCTGGCTAGGTAGGTAATTTTAAGAGCATGCTGCCTTGCTGTGAATTTCTACAGGGTATCAACAATATAAAGCAGTATTTTATTTATTTCTAGCCATTAATTTCAGTGGTACAGGATTCATCTATTTTTAAGATATCCATCTGGTAACTTTTCATCCTCTGGTATATATGAAACTGAAAAGTATTTTACAGGCAGTCCCCGACTTACGCGGATCCGACTTATGTCGGATCCTCACTTACGAACGGGGCTTTCTCGCCCCGGAGCTCGCAGGCAGCGGTCCTGCCACCTTGACCTCCGGGGCGAGAAAAGCTGCTCCTGGTGCCCCTGGTCTGCTGGGGACTGTCTCCAGCAGACCAGGGGCATCGGGAGCAAAGCAGCAGCCCCGGCAGATTTGCTCGCGGTGCCCCTGGTCTGCTGGAGACCGTCTCCAGCAGACCAGGGGCACCGCGAGCAAAGCGGGTCCCACGCCAGAGCAAAGCCTCAGAGGCGAGGCACCCCGCCGCTGCGGCTTTTCTCCCCGTGTCCCTGGTCTGCTGGGGGGGGGGGGCTCGGCGCGGCGACCC